GGCCCTCTAGCACCTGCGTAGAGCTCTCCACCAGATGGCGCTGCTCAGCCTGTTTGCCCAAAGGCAAGCCAGATGGAGCCTAGACCAGGAGGGATTGAGTAGCTACCTGGTTCTGAGCTGTGAATCCAAGTGTTCAGGCAGATGTATCTCCACAGCTCCTTAGGACAGTCATCTTGTCCTCCTTGTCCCAGTCTGCCCTCACCCAACCACCTGCTCGATCAAGGATAAGAATGAAGGGTTCCTAGAGTTTAAGGCCAGAAACTCAGTTCTTATATTCTACTGCTTAGAAAAGCCAAGTACTCACCCTGGATTTTAGTTTCATGTCTAAATTGAATAACTCCACGCTGAAATTATGTTAAATAAGTCTGTAACAACTATGTATTCTCCCCCAACTCCTTTGACCTCCCAGACTGATTGTGTTTATGGGCAGTGGTTGCTATTCATGCCTGCAGGAAGACAGGAGGAGTAATTTTACTTAGGGCAGTTAATCCAAAAAACAATTACAGTAGAGTATGATTGTTTGATTAGAAATGTTCAAGAAACTAAATGGCCTTGGTGAATGTCACTGAAAACCATGTATAAGGCAAGCAGCAATGTCAACAACCACGGGGTAGAAACTTTCCATATTTGAAGCTTTGTTCAGGATGGCAGCATGGCCTTTACTTAAGACATTGTCTAGAAGCATGTCTCGGAAAGAGGAGGACCCCAGAAGATTCCACAATGTCTTCGTTAACCTTCCTACCTCTCTACCAACTTTCTGAAAAATCAAGTCAGTTTATTTTTAAGCTGCCTTTTCCTATTAAGACAGAAATAACTCATGGATGGCCACTAAATCTGTGGCTTCCAATTTATCAACAAAAACAAGAGGATCCTTTCTGAGCTCAGAGTTGTAATCTACTGACATTCACTCCACAAACCTTCATAGTGCTATGTTGTGTGCAGGCCATATTCTAGCCAGCCCAGGAAGCACGCAGCTACAGCTAACACCCCTCCATCTCTATAGCTTTTTTCTCTGGACAAAGACCTCTGCCGACATGGACCCCAGACTGCTAAGTGTATGTCTAATTCACCAGGTTCCTCAAGATGCCCCTTTTTTTATGCATTCCTTCAGCCCACCAAGTGCATACTGGAAAATTAACCAGGCAGTTAAGTTCTTCCCTGCAAAGAGCTTATGGGTTACATAGAGAGGGGTGTAAGACCAGTACATCAATAACTAGACATGTGTTGAGTAATCAGAGAGGTGCACTGTCACAAATCAGGAGATCCCGTCTATTCCACCATCCGCCCCTGCAACCCCCACCACCAACCAAACCCATCCTAACCTAGACCCTGAATAAGGCTGCTCTTCCTACCTCCTCACTCATGGCTTTCAGAAAAAGCAGGCCACATGGCTTCAGGGCAGTTTCAGCAGTTTGTCTAGGTATTGTTTTCTCCTAACCCAACTTGGTCCCTTGGACAAATTTGGGATTTTCTTTGAACTCCAACTCTTCTAATGTAGCATTTTAGCTAGAAAGCAATTTAAACATATCTGGATTCTGAGGAGCAATGGGAAAGCACAGAATTTTTCCTATTTCCAAATTTCTACAGGTCTGGAGAGTTTGAAAATTGAGCCATAGGAAACACGACTTAAGCCAAAACTCTTGAAAATGGCCCAAAATGAAGATTTTTGAATCCTTGATGAATCTCAGGAAAATAGTTGACAGTTTAGCTTTTTTATTCCAGCTCCTGTATAACTGTGCTTTTCAAGCAGGGATGAGATTTTGACTCCCAGGGGGACATTTGACAATGTATGGAGATGTTTCTGGTTGTCACAACTGAGATGCAACTGGCTTCTAGTGGGTAGAGGCCAGGAATACTGCTGTACATCCCATAATGTACAGGACAGACTCCCCAGAGCAAATTATCCTGCTCAAAACATATCAGTAGTGCTGAGGTCAAGAAAACCTAATTGAAGGGCTTGCTATTTCTTTCACTGACTCTAGAGACAGGCAGATTTCTAGATCTAAAGATGTATACCTAAGGAAAAGAGTTGTTAGAGAAATCTCTTTGCTTTATGTTTTGTTGTTGTTTTGTTTGTTTTTGGCTAGGGAGTGGGCTTTTTATTCCACTCATCTACACTTGAGGATATTACAGCATTATATCCAATTGGGAGAGAGCATAAGAGCGTTAGTGAACAGGGTGTTGGGATTCTAATAATCCCAACTTTGGAAAGGAAATGTTTTTAAATTGCCTTTCCCCCTTCCTCTTTACTTGCAAAGGGGCTCCCCAACCCCCTCCCTCTGGTAGATGCTGTCTTAGGACAATTACCTTCTCACCAGCCCACCCCAACCCCAGGGTGCCCAACCCCAGTAGCCAAATAATGGGAAGTTTTGTTAAAGATTTCTTATTCTTTGCTTCGGGAACACATTTCTCCCCCAGTTAACAATTTATCCTGTGTTTACTAAACCCCTTTACCTTTAGATTTCCAGAGAGTTATCGCTAATTTCTCAAGTGCAAAGACTAGAATCACTAGTCTAACTTACCTCTAAGGTGGGGTTGGAGGACCACTGAACCAAGCCTCCCCTGCATGCCACCATTATCAGAGCTACCAGGTAAAGGCTCAGGGAATTTCCACCCATCATCGTGCTTTATGAGTAGAATGGGAAGAGCTGGGGGTTATAAATTCTTTTTAATTTTTTTTTTTTTTTTTTTGAGAAGGAGTTTCGCTCTTGTTACCCAGGCTGGAGTGCAATGGCGCGATCTCGGCTCACCGCAACCTCCGCCTCCTGGGTTCAAGCAATTCTCCTGCCTCAGCCTCCTGAGTAGCTGGGATTACAGGCACACACCACCATGCCCAGCTAATTTTTTGTAGCTTTAGTAGAGACGGGGTTTCACCATGTTGACCAGGATGGTCTCGATCTCTTGACCTTGTGATCCACCCGCCTCGGCCTCCCAAAGTGCTGGGATTACAGGCTTGAGCCACCGCGCCCGGCTACAAATTCTTAATTCTCTCCCAGCTCAGCTCCCTCTTGATAATATACTCAACTGTGGGTTCCTGGATGCTCCAAGACCCTAAAATCCAGAGTATTTCCAAGCCAGCTAGTACACCTGACCCAGCATATTGTAGACTCAATGCCTGCTCTATGCCACCCAACAGTTTCCCGATTGCTCTAGATCCTAAGGTAAAGCCTGCTGAGGCCCAAGTCCCCATTTGCTCAGAAAAAAAAACAAACAAAAAAAACCTTCCTTGGGGTATGTATATCACCAAGAAGCCCCAGAATATGAGGGGATACATTCCCCTCAGCCCCTCCCTATCTGGCAGGCTTTGGATGGGAGATGAGAAAATGTTGGATCTGACTCTTTTATTCCAGCCTCTCAAAGTTGGAGGAGCTGTCCAGTCCCCAGACCAGGAAAGATTTTAATCTCTTTGTGATCAGATAAATGGGAGAGTGGGGGAAGCTTGCTACCCTGCTGAGGAGGGCCATTCAAAGCTGGTTCCTGTAATAAAGTGATTTAATAGATCTAAAGAGGCCAATTCCCTTCTTTCTCCCACAATTACTTCCTGTGGGTTATCATTCACATATGTAAATGAGACAGGGAAGGGAGAAAAGCCACCAGTGGGAAACTTGCTGTCTAATGGGGGGTTGGGGGGATTAGGGTGCTGCAAGGAGGCAGCTAAGTATCCTGCTGCAGGTCCTCTTGGTAGATGTTTGAGTAGCCCACTGACTCCATGGCTCCAAGAGCAAGTGGCGGCTCCCCATCTCCCTGCATCCTCCATCTCCCTTGTTTGCTCCTCGCTGAAGGCTATGCTCAAAGACTTCCCTGCTGCCTCCAACCAGTCCACCCAGCATCTCCCTTCCCCACCCCTCCCCCTAGAATGCCATCCCTCAGGCTCCAACCCTTAATCCCCACATCCTCCTTTCCCCTCCCCCACACCTCCTAAAGCCAGCCTCCCTGAAGTAACCCCTCCCTGCCCGGCCTGGGTGTCAACCTACAGGATCTGGGATTAGCAATTTCTTCTTTCGAGATCCAGCCCCAAACCTCCAAAGATGGAAGGCCCACAGGCAGCAAGCAACTTCCTTTCCATGGTCTTTATGGGTAGCTGGTGCCTTAGGACCACCGGAATGCCTCTAAGATATTCAGGAAGGGGAAGCCTGGGAGGAGGGAGACCTGAAGTCTCTGGCTCCTTGTTTGAGGCCAGGAATGTTAAGACAGCAATCAATGGCTGTCTGGGGCCATAAATGCCAAGCGGAGAATAGGTCCAGAGGCCAGCCTCCCTCCACCCCCTGCCCTGCGACACTGAATTTCACCCCCTACCGCGCTGTCCTGCTTTAACTGAGAACTTGGGGTTGCGACCTACCCACTTCCCTCCCAGCCTGGCCCAGGGACGTAAGGAAGGCCTTGGGTTTTCCTTCCTCATGGGAACTGGATAGCAAAGACCCCAGTCCTGAGCTTTCAGTCTCCCAAATGGATCCTTCAGGGATCTGCCAAACCCAGTTTTTAGTGACCAGCCGGGTGAGGTCTGCATTAAAAAGGGGGCGAGGCTGACTTCTCGGCTTTACGCCCCCTTGGGTCCAGTAGCCAGTTGCCCTCACTCTCTCCCGCCCTCTGAGCTCCATTCAGACATTGGAGGCGCTGGGCGCCCGGCTTAGTCCTGGTGTGTGCTTCCCTGGCCGGCCTGCTCGCCCTCCCCCCACCGGCAAGCACAATACAACCTTAGTTTCTGCCACATGGGGTCACCTCCCTGCCCCCTGCCCCTTCCCAGGGGAAAGAGGTAATAGACACGTGGTAAGCCGGAGGGGTTCCCGGAAGGGGGCGGGGGTGCTGATAATTGGTGCTGCCTCCCATTACTTCCCCCGAGATAGTTAATAGGGACTCAGAATCGGGGTGCCCAGGCAAAGACAGGGACGCATAACGAGGCCTCTTGATGTCCCACAAATCAACAGCAAACCCGGCGCCCACCCATGGACATGAGCGCCTAGATGCCCTTCCCCGGGCAAAGTTACCGGAATCAGTCTCACCTGGTGCACAAAGACGTCCACTGGGGGGTCGAGCGCGACCCCGGCGCGGGCGGTCATGGACAGGAAGCCGAACCCCATGCGCACGTTGAACCACTTACAGATGCCTGCACCGTGCAGCAGCTGAGGCTCGTCCGCCGCCCGGGCCGCGTCCTCCGGCGCCTCCTCGGGCGCCTCTTCCGCCGCCTTGGTGCAGCCACCTGGAGATAGGGAGGTCCGGGCACTCAGCTAGAGGGCACCGAATCGGAGGGCCGTCTCGGGCCCCGGGCAGGGAGACCCGAGTGTCCAGCCCCACAAGTGGACAACTAGGAGGGGGAAGCTACCAAGCAACGGAAGAGAAGAAACCTGTCCCGGTCGCCTCCCGCGCTCCCCTAGCGTACACCGGGACAGTGGTGCCCCGAAAGTTTTGCTCCTCTTCCCATAACGTGTTTCCCGGCGACTCAAGGCGGGACAGGCCTCTCTTCTCCATCCACCCACGTAGTCTGGCGCGCACGCCACTGGGACACCAAGGTTCCTTCCTCCAGAGATGGCCCCATGAAGCAGGAGGCCGCACCGTCTTGGGGTCCTTTGAGCAGCCTAGGGGTCACTTTCCCACCTCCCTTCTACGTGGCTCCTGGCCGCCCCTGCATCCTAAGGTGTCCCCGCTAAGTCCCAAGCTCGAACCTGTAAACTGTTGGTTGGACACGGAGCCCATGGTAGTCGGCTGAGCCGGTGGCCCCGGGCCCCTGGTCGGGCGGCTGCTGGCCCCAGAGAAGTCCGAAGGCAAAGGGGTGGTTCGGAGAAGAGGCTGCTACATCTTCCCCCGCACAATAGCGGTGGGAGGGCCCACGGCTTTTCAAAGGCTCCCAAATTCTAAAAGACAATGACCCAACCCCCCGCGGGCAGCCCCCTCCCCTCCCCTCTCCCTTCTCTCCCCTCCCTTTCCCTCCGGCTCCAGCTCCGGCCCTCCCCCACCGCTCGGGTCTCTGACACCTCTGGGGTGTCCCTTCTCAGAACCTTGAGGTTTGACACCCCCTCCCCATACACACATCTGGAAATGGGGCTGTCTGTCCTAGAAGTCTTGAGTACCCCGGAATTTGGGATCCTGCACTTAGGACTCAATAGGGGTCCCCAAAGAAGAAACAGGTGGGGGACCTGGTGGGGGGGGTAGTTTTAAAACCACGTGACTGCTCCCACACACAGTCACACACCACCCCCACCCCCCGCGCAGATAATTATACATTCCAGAGAGTTGGGGGAGGGAGGTGTGAGCCTGGCGGCGCTGGCCAATCAGAAACACAAACCACCTGTCAAGGGAGAAATGGATGGGCCCTCCCCCTCCCCCAGCCCTTGAGCGCCCCTCCCCCTCTCTTCCCCCTCAGGCCTCTGAGCTGACCCGGCTGCTTGGCGCTGACCCGCTCTCACCCCCCACCCCTGTGTGCTTAGATAGACCTGGAGTTCTGGACACTAGGAAGCCCGGGATGGGGGAGCAGGGGAGAGGCTAGGGACACACAGGACTGATCTGTCCTGACCAAGGCGCTGCCTTCCAAAGTCTGTCTGCCACTGACTGCATCTGAGTGTCTGCCTTTCGGAGTTTCCGACTCGGAGTTTTTCTGGGCCTCCCCCAGTTCGAAAAGAGAAAGTGCTCTCAGTTGATTCTTTATAAAGAATTATTCCTTCTTTCCTCCCTCCAAACCTGTGTGTCTAAAGTTAGCCCCAGGTAAGCTCCCTGGAGAGCAGGAGGAACCCAAAGAGCCTTGAAGCTGTTTCTCCACCAGCTGCCTTCTCATCCTACCCCGACCCGATCCCCATTCCCTGCTGGGAGAGGGACGGGATGGGTAGGTGGGTAGAGGTACTTCCTCTGTACGCCTCAAATTCTTAGATTCCCAGGCCCTCCTTGTTTCAGAGTCACCACCCTAAAATTCGCTGCCGTCCCCATAGTGGGGTTGGTGGAGGAACTGGACTGGGGGGAGTCTCCTCATTTAAAGAGGTGGCCTCCCCTTCTAGGAAATAATGAGGGCTGGCCAGTGGGGGTGGCTACTGCCCTGGTCGGAGATGGACAATGGCCCGGGGCTCAGTGCACGGCCCTGGCCCTGCCCCTTCACTTCCGGTGCTCAGTTCAAACTGGACAATGCCAGCTCCGGCCAGTTCCCCTCCCCCACCACTACAACCCTTTTAAAGGGACAGAGCCTGCTTTCGGGGGCATCCGCTAGCTCTGCATTCAGTCTTCAATCTCACCGAGTGTGCAGAACCTCTTAGGCTTCTCATGCTGTGGCTCTGTATGTGTGTGTGTGTGTGTGTGTGTGCACGCGCGGGCGTGGGCACATGTGTATTTCAGAGAGACCGGATGAGTGTGGGTAGGGAGGGAGAAGATGAGGAGGAAAGCAAGAAACTGCAAGAAATTACTTCCCTTTCTCTCCTACGGAGTGCTCTCCAAGAAACGAAAACTTGAGCGTAAGGAATGGGAGGTGGGACTTCGGGGGATAAAAAGGACAACTGTGGCCCTTTGCTGCTCAGCCTAAAAAATACATATCCTTAACAAATATTATTAGCAGTGCCCCACTCCCAACTGAGGACTCTAATTTAGATTTTTCAAGAGTTCTCCTAGCACATCGGCCAAAGGCGTTGTCTCTCTCTGTTAGTAGTGCTCTTAAAATAGATTCGCTCCCTGTACCTCTGTTCCTAAGATTCAGGAGCAGGTGGCTGAGGTCTGGCTGAAAAAAACGGAGGGAAACAGGAATTGAACGCTCTGGCTTCACTTGGAGGGTTCTCTGGTGATGGGATTTCGGTTACCCGGGAATGTGCGTCCTGCTTCTCTGTCCAGGGTCCTGAGGACTCCGGAGCTCTGTCCACGGTGCTGAATTGAGTCACGCTTTCTTGGATCCCAGCTCACAGTTTTGAGAATACCTTCCTGAGTGCCCATCTCCAAGTCTTTCCCAGAAAACCTGATTTTCCTCAATGCCGCTTCCCTCCCTGGTAAAAATGACACATTTCACATTTTTTTTTTTTTTGAGACGGAGTCTTGCTCTGTTGCCTGGGCTGGATGGAGTGCAGTGGTGTGATCTCTGCTCACGGCAACTTCCGCCTCCCAGGTTCAAGAAATTCTCCTGCCTCAGCCCCCGAGTAGCTGGTATTACAGGCACATGCTACCACGCCTGGCTAATTTGTGCATTTTTAGTAGAGATGAGGTTAAATCATGTTGGTTCGACTGGTCTTAACCTCCTGACCTCAAGTGATCCGGCCACCTCGGCCTCCCAGAGTGTGGGGATTGTAGGTGTGAGTCACTGTGCCGTGCCTAAAAGAGTTTTTTTGAATGTCAAAGAGATGTCATTGTCGAACGCTAAAGCAGTGACTCACACCTGTAATCCCAGCACTTTGGAGGCCAAGGTAGGAGGATCGCTTGAGCCCAGGAGTTTGAGACCAGCCTGGGCAACATATTGAAACCCACCTCTACAAAAAATACAAAAATTAACCGAATGTGGTGTCACATGCCAGCTACTTGGGAGGCTGAGGTGGGAGGATCGCTTGAGCCCAGGAGGCTGAGGTTGCAATGATTAGATAGTGCCATTGCACTCTAGCCTGGGTCACAGACTCACCCAGGCCTTGTCTCAAAGAGCGAGAACGAGAGGCATTCCCAGTAGTATATGATTTTGTGAGAGTGGTGCAATATCTCAAACTCCTTTTCAGAAAAAATGGGTAAATCTACTTCCTCATATGGCTGTAAAAGGTTAGGAAAGAAGAAATGATATTTTTTGAGTCAAAGAAGACCAGAGTAAAAGAAAAACTAATCTGTTTTTAATTTATTTTTTATTTATTATTATTATTTTTTTTAGAGATGGAGTCTCACTCTACTGCCCAGGCTGGAGTGCAGTGGCATGATCTCAGCTCACTTGTAACCTCTGCCTCCCGGGTTGAAGCAATTCTCCTGCCTCAGCCTCCCGAGTAGCTGTGATTACAGGTGCCCACCACGCCCCCCGATTAATTTTTGTATTTTTAGTAGAGAGGGGGGTTTCACCGTGTTGGTCAGGTTGGTATCAAACTCCTGGTCTCAGGTGATCCATCCACCTTGACCTCCCAAAGTGCTGGGATTACAGGCATGAGCTACTGCTCCAGCCTTATTTTCCTAATTATTACCACTTTTTATGAGTACACGGTGTTAGAGTAAGATTACCCATGTATGAATGTCAGCTCTACTATTTACAGCTCTTCCTTAACCTCTATACGTCTCCATTTCTTCCTCTCTCCAATGGGGGTAATGAGAATACTGAGCTCTCAGAGATATGTGAAAATGAAGTTACATCATGTAGGTAAAGCTTTTGAGACAGTGCTTGACATGTACTTAGTTCTTTTTTTTTTGAGATGGAGTCTCGCTCTGTTAGCCAGGCTGGAGTGCAATGGTGCGATCTTGGCTCACTGCAACCTCTGTCTCCCAGGCAATTCTTCTGCTTCAACCTCCTGAGTAGCCGGGATTACAGGCACGCACCATCATGCCTGGCCAATTTTTGTATTTTTAGTAGAGATGGGGTTTCACCATATTGGCCAGGCTGGTCTCAAACTCCTGACCTTGTAATCTGCCCGCCTTGGCCTCCCAAAATGCTGCAATTATAGGCGTGAGCCGCCATGCCCGGTTGACATGTAGTTAGTTCTTAATGATGTAAACTATTACTATTATTATAGCTATTGTGCACATGCTTGTCTCTATGATCTAGAACGTACAGGATCATTTGCTCCCTGAGGACTGGCACCATTCATGTGTTTTATTTCTGCATCTTCCCCAGCATCTTTCCCAGTACCTAGTATGGTGCCTGGACCTCATAAGTCCCCTAAAAAGAGTTTCCTGAATAGGCTTTAATATGAATAATATACATGAGTAAAATATACTTATTCTTCTAGGCTGCCTCTTTTAAATCTATTCCCAGAACAACCCAGGAAATGTTCAAGGCCTCATTAAGTTGCTTAGGCAGAGGCAGAGGATGATTTTGGAAGGGATGCATGGCTCCCAACATAATTGATTCCTCTTCCTCAATGGGTTTTCTCATGTGGGCAGTGGGGACTCTTGACCAAATCTTCTTCCTGTCTTGAGTCCCTGTCTTAGTGGAACTTATTAGGTACCTATGATCCAGGCATTATGCTAGTTCACCAGTCTGAGTACACACTAAGTAGTTTGAGGATTTACAAAAATAAAAAAAGGACAGAAAAAACATTCCCTGCCTTCCAGGAAGTTATAGTCTAGTAAGGGAGACAGGACTGAAAGAGCTAAGCATTGTAGATTTCTTGTGTACTAGTTTCTGAGAGTAACAATATCTAGGTAAAAGGAGGGTAAATGTACTCTTTAGAGAAGACATGGGTGTCTAGTATCAACATGAAGAACATCCCTCTCCTTAAGGCATTTTGCTAAGTTCCTTTTGTGCAGGTTCATAACTTCATGAAAGAGCTGCAAGAGGTCTTAGTAATAATAACAATTTAATCAACAATTAACAAATATTTGTTGAGCACTTTTCTGTGGCAGACATTGTTTTAATTGTTGAGAATACATCAAAGAGCAATACAAACAAAACTTCCTGCCTTTGTAGAATGGGCATTCTTCTAGATAATAATAATAAGCATCTATCAGGAATACAGGCACTTTTTCCTTTTTTGAGATGGAGTTGTTTCGATCTTATTTCCTTTTTTTTTTTCTTTTCTCTTTTTTTTTTTTGAGACAGAGTTTCACTCTTGTTACCCAGGCTGGAGTGCAATGGCGCGATCTCGGCTCACCGCAACCTCCGCCTCCTGGGTTCAGGCAATTCTCCTGCCTCAGCCTCCTGAGTAGCTGGGATTACAGGCATGCGCCACCATGCCCAGCTGATCTTTTGTAGTTTTAGTGGAGACAGGGTTTCACCATGTTGACCAGGATGGTCTCGATCTCTTGACCTCGTGATCCACCCGCCTCGGCCTCCCAAAGTGCTGGGATTACAGGCTTGAGCCACCGCGCCCGGCCTCGATCTTATTTCCTAAGCTAGAGTGCAATGGCTTGATCTTGGCTCACTGCAGCCTCTGCCTCCTGGATTCAAGCGATTTTCCTGCCTCAGCCTCCTGAGTAGCTGGGATTACAGGTATACACCACCACGCCAAGCATTTTTTGTATTTTTAGTAGAGATGGGGTTTCTCCATGTTGGTCAGGCTGGTCTTGAACTCCCGACCTCAGATGATCCGCCCCCCCACCCCAGCCTCCCAAAGTGCTGGGATTACAGGCATGAGCCACTGTGCCTGGCCCCAGCCTGATTTTTGTTTGTGTTACAGCCTAATTTTTTTTTTTTTTTGAGACATTGCTCTGTTGTCTGAGTTGGAGTGCAGTTTCAAAATCATGCTTCCTGCAGCCTTGACCTCCCAGTCTCAAGCAATCCTGCCTGCCTCAGATTCCTGAGTAGCCGGGGCTGCAGGTGTGTACCACCATGCCCAGCTAAATTTAAAAAAATAAAAAACTTTGTGGAAAGTTCTTGCTATGCTGTCCAAGCTGATCTTGAACTCCTGGGCTCAAGCAATCCTTCTGCCTTGGTCTCCCAAAGTGCTGAGATAACAGGCTTGAGCCACCACACCCGGTCCCAGCCTGCTGATTTGCTCTGTGATCTCAAGAAAAGCACCCAGTTGGCTGGGTACAGTGGCTCACACCTGTAATCTCAGCATTTTGGGGGTTGGAGGTGGACAGATCACGAGGTCAGGAGATAGAGATCCTCCTGGCCAACATGGTGAGACCCTGTCTCTACAAAAAAATACAAAAATCAGCTGGGCATGGTGGCATGTGCCTGCAGTCCCAGCTACTTGGGAGGCTGGGGCAGGAGGATCGCTTGAACTGAGGAGGCAGAGGTTGCAGTTAGCTGAGATCACGCCATTGCACTCCAGCCTAGTGACAGAGCGAGACTCCATTTCAAAAAAAAAGCTTAGCATGGTAGCTCATGCCTGTAATCCCAGCACTTTGGGAGTCCAAGGCAGGTGAATCACTTGAGATCAGGAGTTTGAAACCAGTCTGGCCAACATGGTGAAAACCTGTCTTTACTAAAAATACAAAACAATTAGCTGGGAGTGGTGGCATGTGCCTGTAATTTCAGGTACTTGGGAAGCTGAGGCAGGAGAACTGCTTGAACCTGAGAGGTGGAGGTTGCAGTGAGCCAAGATTGCACCCCTGCACTCCATCCTAGGTGACAGAGCAAGAGTCCATCTCAAAAAAAAAAAAAAAAAAAGCACCCAGTTGTATCCTTTCAGGGTAAAATGAGAGTGGGATTTGCTGTTAGACAAATGTTTCTTCTTCCATTTCTGACATTGACATTTTTAGATGATATGATTTCTGTAAGTGTGAGTGTGTGTGTGTGTTTGAGAAGGAGAGAGAGATCCTCCATTTCTATAACACAGAGAAACAATCTGTTTTCGTCCCATGCTGTCATCCTCATCCCACTCAGGGACTAGCGCCTCTTGCCTCTCAGGCCTATTGAGTTGGTAGCAGCAGGAGAACAAGCTAAGGGAGTCCCACCCTTCTTTCAGAGTGCTCCCCATGCTGGTCCTGCTTCACAGAGCAGGATGCCAAGCACTTGCTTTCACCAATAATGGCTTCATTAGATTGAAAGGAGACGAGAGTGACCTCAGTGAAATAGACTTCCTGACCCCAGCTGACCTCCGACCCTCACCCTGACAGCCTCCAAATCTTTTTCTTTTGACATATCCCCACAAGGCATAGGCAGGAAGAGAAAATGATGATCCCGCTATAGCTCACTGTCCAGGAACTGTAACTCTCCAGGTGTCCTCTTGCAGTGGAACTCATGATACACAACTGTGATTTCCTCACGACTGCTGATCCTTCCAGCAATCCCCTAGTCTGGTTTGTGGGTCACAACCCACACAACTGTCATTCACCTGGTGCCCATTTGTTTGTATCCAATGGCTGTCATGTGCCATGGAGGTGGGAGGCAGGTATATCAAAATGCTTTCATTTCCCAATGCTACTTTGGTCTGGGCCTTTAACTGACTCTCCCATGGTTCTGCAGCTACTGTTTCGTGAGTGCTGATTATACACCAGGCATGCATCAAGTGCTTTGTGTGTATTGTCTCTTTCAGTCCTCAAACATCCTAATATGGTCCCCATTTTACTGGAGAGGAAACTGAGACTTACTGAAGTTAAGTGACTTGTCTCAACTTATGGAACACAAGGGGTGGATCCCAGGTAGAGCTCACTCCAATATTCTTCTTCTTTACTTTTTAAGAAATACTGTAGTTCCTCACAAATATGGATACCAACTACATACCCACAACAATTAAAAATGAAAAAAATACTGTAAAGTAATTAATGCATGCAGTTCAATTAATATTGAAATAATTATAATAAAAACAGTCCTCTGGCCTCTCCACCCCCTCCACTCTCATGAGGCAACTACTCTTTCGGCCATTTCTTCTGGAGGACATTTTTATATCTCTAAATAATAAATATGTATGTCTGTTCTTTGATTTATCAATTTTAGATACTATCTATTGATTTCCTGTTACGGTATATGAGGACTTTCCTCTCTTACAGGGTCCGCGTTCCCTATCCCCTTCCTCCCAATGTAGTTAAATACTCACTTTCAACTAAATTAACCAATGTTTACACTCTCATGATTATGGTAATGTTCATTGCATTGCCAAGTAGTATACTAGGTGAAAATTTTCTTTCTTTCTTTCTTTTGTTTTTGAGGATGGGGTCTGGCTATGTTTCCCATGCTGGCCTCAAAGCCCTGGGCTCAAGTGATCCTCCCACCTCGACCTCCCTAGTAGCTGGGACTACAGGAAAATTTCCTTTCTCCCACCACTTTCTATTTTCCCTGGACTCTCCAACTGCCTTTCTCCCTTTACTGTCTTGTTTGTCATTAAAATAATATCCTTTGTTGTTTTCTTTTTTCTTTTTTTGTTTGAGTTGGAGTTTTTGCTCTTGTTGCCCAGGCTGGAGTGCAATGGTTCAATCTCAGCTCACTGTACCCTCTGTCTCCTGGGTCCAAGCAATTCTGCCTGCCTCAGCCTCTCGAGTAGCTGGGATTACAGGCACCCACTACAATGCCTAGTGATTTTTTTTTTTTTTTAATTTAAAGGCAAGATTAGAGAACAAGCGAATTTTTGTATTTTTAGTAGAGACAGGGTTTCACAATGTTGGCCAGGCTGGTCTCAAACTCCTGACCGCAGGTGATCCGCCTGCCTCAGCCTCCCAAAGTGCTGCACTTACAGGTGTGAGCCACCGCACCTGGCCTCCCTCAGTTGTTTTCAAAGCCTCCATCATATTACCTTTTCCATTAAGTCCCTTTTCCCAGACCCCCTTCCATTCTGGATGTTCTCCTGGCCTGCTTCCCAGGAGTCACCTTCAGGCTTCCTTCTCAGTGCTTTCCAGGTTGGAGACTGTTTTCTGGATCTCATGCCAACACCTTTATTTTTTTTCACACTTGAGAAGCACATCTTCAAGTAACTGCCCAGGAAAGGGTGAATAGGAGTGCAATTTCCTGGACCCCACATGTCTGAGCATATTATTGTTTTGCCCCTATTTTTGGATGGTTTCAGACCCATGCTGTTTATCACTCTGCTCTGTAGAACCCTTCTAGAATGAAGACAGACTCTCACCTTGCTTTGGGGACATTAAAGTTGGAGATATCTTTTCTAGATTCTGAGCTGTGAACACGGAGTTAATAGAACAAAAATAATAAAAAATAATGATAGCTTAATCTTTTCCAAGGCTCACCATGTGCACCAGGTACTGTGCTAAGTGCTTTATATATGAATTATTTGCTCAAATCCTTACAACTCTTATGAGACAGGCATGGTTTTCTATTCTCATTTTATAGGTAAAGGTGAGGCACAGACGGGTTAAGTAGCTTACTCAAGGTCGCAGAGTAAGTGATAGGATTCAAAGTCTCGTAGGTTGACTCTAGAATGAGCATTCAGAGTCAATAATCTACACTTCAATTAGAAGAGGTTTAGGTGGCCGGGAGCAGTGGCTCCTGCCTGTAATCCCAGCACTTTGGGATGCCAAGGTGGGCAGATCACCTGAGGTCGGGAGTTTGAGACCAGCCTGACCAACATGGAGAAAACCCATCTCTACTAAAAATACAAAATTAGCTGGGCATGGTGGCACGTGCCTGTAATCCCAGTTAGGAAGCTGAGGCAGGAAAATCGCTTGAATCCAGGAGGCAGATGTGCTGGACACAGCTCCCTCCAATTACCTTATGAGTGAGGTGTTATTCTCCCCATTTAACAGAAGAGAAAACTGAAGTTCAGAGTGTTTAAATAACTTCTTCAAATTTCCCCAGCAAGTGACAACAATAAAATACAGATAGTCACTGACTTATGATGGTTTAATTTACCATTTTTTGACTTTACGATGGAACCAAAATGCTACCTATTCAGTAGACACTGTATTTTGAGTACCCATACAATCATTCTGTTTTTCACTTTCAGTCCAGTATTCAATAAGTTACATGAAACGGTCAACACTTCATTATAAAATGGGCTCTGTTAAATGATTTTGTCCAACTGTAGGCTAATGTAAATGTTTTCAGCATGTTAACAGCTAAAATGTATGAGTGCCTACTATGTGACAGACATTGTATCTAGACCCTACCTTAGCTCATGTAATCCCTCTGCAAAACTTCCTGATGTGGGAATTATTGTCTCCATTTTTAAAGTGAGAAAACAAAGTCTCAGAGATTAAACTATTTATTTATTTATTTACTTCAGGATTCTTTTGTTTTATTGATAACAGAAACTGTGCATAATTACAGATTTGATGAGGAACCTGCAAATAATAAAGAATGTGTCTATTGCCAGCAAAATACAATTATTCCATGCCCTTTCAACATACAAATATAGAGTTTTTCACACCAGATGGCTCTGGTGTAACAAAGCCATTTTAGAATGTTTAATTGTGCTTCTACAAAACCTTCAGAGAATGAGGTATTTCCCTTTACCTGCAATATTTTCCACATTTCCATTATTACATTTTAAGTTACTAAAATCCTTTTAACATAGCCTGAGATTAAACAATTTAATTTGCTCAAGGTAACTGACAGGAAGTGACCCATCCAGGTCAGTCACATGCTGCAGTCCATGCTCCTAACCACTAGGGTACACTGCACTTCAGCAGTAGCATCTGAGATGACGCCAAACTGTATAAGCCATACTGGACTCAAGGCCTCCAAATGATAGGGGTCTGTCCCTTCCCGCTCCTTACCACTGGGTCCCTGTGGTTCGGCCATGGTGGAGGAAGAATGACAGAAAGACAGATGCATGGAGCTGTCCCTTTTCCTTTCCAGCCTCTCCTGAATGCAAGCAGCATCGTGAGGGTCTGAAAAGAGCCTCCACTCCTGTTCTATTAAAGGAGAGAGAATGGAACAAAGGAAATGGACATTTCAAGATCCTTGATTCCAAGACTCTCAAAGTCAAATAGACCTTGCAGGTCTGCTGACCCTCTGTCATACTCCAAGCTTGACATCAACCATTGTCCAGATCAGCTTGCAAATTTCCAGCAACAGGGAACTTACTGCTGTGAATGCCTTGCCCATCCACAGATAGTTGGGATTGTTAGAAAGTTCTTTCTTCTGGCCAGGTGCAGTGGCTCACACCTGTAATCCCAGCACTCTGAGACGCCAAGGCAGGCGGATCACCTAAGGTCAGGAATTATAGACCAGCCTGGCTAACATGGCAAAACCCCATCTCTACTAAAAATACACAAACACACACACACACACACACACACACACACACACACAGCTGGGCATAGTGGTTCATGCCTGTAATCCCAGCTACTGGAGAGGCTTAGGCAAGATAATTGCTTGAATCCAGAAGGCGAAGGTTGCAGTGAGTGGAGATCATGCCACTACACTCCAGCCTGAGCAACAAACTCCACCTCAAAAATAAATAAATAAATAAAAAGTTCTTTCTTCCATTGAATTCAACCTAATCTCTGTAGCTTCTATCCACTGAGGTCCATAGAACAAGTCCCCTTCCACTTTTGCAAAGACTCTGGGGTCATGCTTTCTGTTCAAACTCAAGTCCTTCTCTAGTTTTGTGACCTAAGTTTTTAGAGGCTCAATGTCTCAATTTTGTTTAATTTTCCAATGTTTTTCTGGAAGTTAGCCGAAAGCCAGATTTACTCAGCTTGGTCCTCAGCGATCCACAGCTCTTTTCTTTTTTTTCTTTTTGAGGCAGGGTTAAGCTCTGTTGCCCAGGCTGGAGTGCAACAGCGCAATCTCTGCTCACTGCAACCTCTGCCTCCTATGTTTTTTTTTTTGTTTGTTTGTTTGTTTGTTTGTTTGAGACAGAGTTTCGCTCTTGTTACCCAGGCTGGAGTGCAATGGCGCAATCTCGGCTCACCGCAACCTCCGTCTCCTGGGTTCAGGCAATTCTCCTGCCTCAGCCTCCTGAGTAGCTGGGATTACAGGCAAGCGCCACCATGCCCAGCTAATTTTTTGTATTTTTAGTAGAGACGGGGTTTCACTATGTTGACCAGGATGGTCTCGATCTCTTGACCTCGTGATCCACCCGCCTCGGCCTCCCAAAGTGCTGGGATTACAGGCTTGAGCCACCGCGCCCGGCCTCCTCCTGTGTTTAAGTGATTCTCCTGCCTCAGCCTCCCAAGTAGCTGGGATTACAGGGGTGCGCCACCACACCCAGCTAATTTTGTATTTTTAGTAGAGGCAGGGTTTTTTCACGTTGGTCAGGCTGGTCTCGAAATCCTGACCTCAGGGGATCTGCCTGCCTTGACCTCCCAAAGTGCTGGTTACAGCATCCGCCTGGTGTTCCTCAGCTCTTTTCTGGAGTCTACGTACTACTTTATACAGTGCTTTTTCAGACCACAAAGTATTTTCCCGTTCATTATATCACTAGGCCCTGGAAAACAAGGCTGCCAGGAAAAGAGAGAGATAAGGTGGCCACGTAGTTATTGAATTTTTGCAGATGAGGCAGGTCTCTGCTCCCAGTACCAGCCTTAATGCCAAGTTTGTACTCCTTGTCCTTCCCCTTCTCACTTCTGTCACAATGCACACTCTAGGGCCTCCATTAACTTGACTCTCTTTCTCCCTAAGTTTTCTCCATAATTACCCCTCTGCTTGAAGCACCATTTCCCTTACTTTCACTTTGCTGATCACTATTCATTCTCTTTTTTTTTTTTTTTAATTTTTATTTTGGAGACGGAGTCTTGCTCTGTCTTCAAACATGGAGAGCAGGCCGGGCGCGGTGGCTCAAGCCTGTAATCCCAGCACTTTGGGAGGCCGAGGCGGGTGGATCACGAGGTCAAAAGATCGAGACCATCCTGGTCAACACGGTGAAACCCCGTCTCTACTAAAAATACAAAAAATTAGCTGGGCATGGTGGCGCATGCCTGTAATCCCAGCTACTCGGGAGGCTGAGGCAGGAGAATCGCCTGAACCCGGGAGGCGGAGGTTGCGGTGAGCCGAGATCGTGCCATTGCACTCCAGCCTGGGTAACAAGAGCGAAACTCCGTCCCCCCCCCCAAAAAAAAAAAAAAAAAAAGATGGAGAGAAATGGCATGGTCACGGCTCACTGCAGCCTCCACTTCATAGGTTCAAGCAATCCTCCCACCTCAGCCTCCTGAGTAACTGAGATTACAGGTATGTGCCACCAGGCCTGGCTAATTTTTGTATTTTTAGTAGAGATGAGGTTTTATCATGTTGGCCAGGCTGGTCTTGAACTCCTGGCCTCAAGTGATCTGCCTGCCTCGACCTCCCAAAGTGCTGGGATTATAGGCGTGAGCCACTGAACCAGGCCTCATTTTCTTTTTTATTATTACTAATTTTTTTTTGAGACAGGGTATCACTCTGTTGTCCAGACTGGAGTGTAGTGACGTGATATTGGCTCAGAACCTCTGCCTCCCAGGCTCAAGCCATTCTCCTGCCTCAGCCTCCTGAGAAGCTAGGATTACAGGTGCGTGCCGCTACCACCCGGCTAATTTTTGTATTTTTAGTAAAGATGGGGCTTCACCATGTTGGCCAGGCTGGTCTTGAACTCCTGACCTCAGGTGATCTGCATGCCTCAGTCTCTCAAAGTGCTGGGATTATGGGCGTGAGCCACTGTGCCCAGCCACCTCATCACCTCATTTTCCTTCCTTCCTTTTTTCTTTCCTTTACCTACCTTTCTTTCTCTTTCTTTCTTTTTCTTTCTTTCTTTCTTTCCTTTTTTTCTTCCTTTCTTCCTTTCTCCCTTTCTCTCTTTCTCGCCTCTCTTTCTCTCTTTCTTTCTTTCTTCTTCTTCTTCTTTTTTTTTTTTTTTAGACAGAGTCTGGCTCTGTCGTCCAGGCTGGAGTACAGTAGCATGATCTTGGTTCACTGCAACCTCCAGCTCCTGGGTTCAAGTGATTCTCCTGCCTTAGCCTCCCAAGTAGCTGGGATTACACGCATGTACCACTATGCCCAGCTAATTTTGTATTTTTAGTAGAGATGGGATTTCTCCACGTTGGCCAGGGTGGTCTCGAGCTCCTGACCTCAGATGATCTGCCCACCTCAGCCTCCCAAAGTCCTGCGATTACAGTTGTGAGCCACTGTGCCTGATCAAGAAATTTTCACAATCTCCTGAACTTAACCTAGTTCCTACTCCTAACCCCTACTGTCAGCCCTGTCCTTACTAATTCCTTAGAATCTTAGGTGGCTTATCCAGAAGGGAACTTAGAGCTCATCTGATTCAATCCCTTCATTTTATGATAAGGGAACTAAGACTCATAGAAGTTAAATGCTTTGCCAAGGCCACACAGCAAAATTGTGGCCATCCTTTCTTCCTGATGAGCAGATTGGTGCTTTTTTCATGGGATTCACCAAAGAGTTCATGGACTCCCAGGGCTTTGTCTTAGGGATGGAGGTAGGAGTAAATAAATAATTCCATCCAAGGCTCTCCTTTTATACTCCCTAGACACCCATAAGGCTAGACACCCAGCAGTCTGTCCTGAGACTGCTGTGTCTGAAATTTCTACCAGGCAGAAATTTCAAGCAGGACAGGATGGGGGGGGTGTGTGTATGGATGTGTGAGGTGTGTGTGTGTGTGTGTGTGTGTGTAGGATCATGGGGTGCCAAGGATACAGACATGAAAACTGGGCTGCAGCATAGCCCTTCTGTTGTAGAGTCCCTCGAGGCTCCCACCATGGCAACACCACTCCCTCTGCCCCTGAAGCTGACCTTTGGGGCAAGAGATCAATAACTTGGACTTTGGCTTCAGTCCCCTTTAGCCTCCCAGTGACCACTGGCTGCCCAGAAGAGCTATCGGGACCCAGGGTCATTAAGTAACTGTCACTCTTCCCCGGCCCCACTTTGGGACATGGCTGGGGAGGGGCCAGGAATGGGAACCTTATGGAGAGTCACAGGTGTGGTCTGGTTCTTCCCATCCTCACTGGAGGAGGAGTAACCTCTATCTCTCATTGACCCCCCCACCCACTACCCCTTTTTACCTTTGGCCAAGAAGGCTTCCTTCTGCCCTCTCTGCTCCCTCCATGTCCTTAGCATTGAGCCCTGACTCCCCTCATGGAATCCCTGTGCTCCTCACCATGTTCCTCTTAGTCCAATCTTCTATGAACCCCCTCTCCTCCCATTGTGCTTACACTTTATATAAACTGGAGATATTTCACCCCTTTGTCAGTCAAGACAGTAGTCAGAGGCCGGGTGTGGTGGTTCACTCCTGTAATCCCAGAATTTTGGGAAGCCGAGGTGGGTGGATTACCAGAGGTCAGGAGTTCAAGAGACCAGCCTTGCCAACATGATGAAACCCTGTCTCTACTAAAAATACAAAAAATTAGTCAGGTGTGGTGGCGGGCACCTATAATGCCAGCTGCTTGGGAGGCTGAGGCAGGAGAATCGCTTGAACCCAGGAGGCGAAGGTTACAGTGAGCCAAGATCGAGCCATTGCACTCCAGCCTGGGCAACAAGAGGGACACTTTATCTCGGAAAAAAAGAGACAGTGGTCAGGAATTCCTCCTTCACCTTTCTAAATACCTCATTCTAAGGCCGGGCGCGGTGGCTCACGCCTGTAATCCCAGCACTTTGGGAGGCCGAGGCGGGTGGATCACCAGGTCAAGAGATCGAGACCATCCTGGTCAACACGGTGAAACCCCGTCTCTACTAAAACTCCAAAAAGTAGCTGGGCATGGTGGCGCGTGCCTGTAATCCCAGCTACTCAGGAGGCTGAGGCAGGAGAATTGCCTGAACCCAGGAGGTGGAGGTTGCGGTGAGCCGAGATCATGCCATTGCACTCCAGC